CCCTTAGATGGAAGTATCGCTATCGGTATTGAAAACTTCGGCCCTGAATACCTCGCCCGTCATACTCGAGAACCTGTTAATATGCGAAAAGCACTTCTAGCAGCAAACACTCGTCACATTCTCGGCGATCAGTCCACCACATTAGAGATTGGCCCTCATCCCGCCATATCTGGTATGGTTCGATCGGTTCTCGGATCTCAAACCAAAACTCTGGCGTCTTTACAGAGGGGCAGACCAGTTTTTGTGACCTTGGTGGCTGCTCTGAAAGCTCTCTACACTGCAGGTGCTGATATTCGGTGGTCGGGATACCACTCTGATTTCAAGGCCTCTCATAAAGTTATCCCACTACCGGCATACAATTGGGACTTGAAGCCATATTGGATACAATATGTTAACGACTGGTCCTTGCGCAAGGGAGATCCCCCTCTAGTAATCAGCGGCTCATCGAAGCTCGAGAGCACTACCGTCCATAAGGTTGTCGAAGAGACGGGCGATTCTAAGAAAGCCCACATCATCGTCGAGGCAGATGTCACGCGCAAGGATTTCCGCCCATTGGTAGAAGGCCACGAGGTTGACGGAGTTCCTCTCTGCACTCCAGCAGTTTATGCCGATATCGCGCTGACTGTCGGTACTTACCTCCTCGAGCGGTATAATCCAAGCAAGGCCGGCAGTATTGTCAATATCTCCAAGCTGGACATCGTTAAGGCTCTGATTCTTCGACCTGACGCTGCTCAACAGGCCCTTCAAGCCCATGCTGAGGCAGACTGGACATCAAACACGGCGACAGTCAAATTCGTGACTTTTGACGTATGTATTCCCTTACCTTTCTTTATCATATCACCCCTTGTCGGTAAATAGGTAGATATGCTAACAAATTTAACAACAGGCTCAGCAAAAGCCACAGGAGCATTCTCGCTGTGTTATCCGTTTCACAGACAGCAGTCTCCAGCAAAAACTTCAAAAGGAAGCAGCAAACGTGAAGCAAAGATTGCAAGCCCTTCGAAATGGAATAACCACGGGTGAAACTGCTCGTTACAATCGATCCATGGTATACCGCGCCATCCGACCGCTGGCACGATTCCACGATGACTACAGAGCTGTAGACGAGATTCTTCTTGACAGCAAGACATTAGAGGCTTCTAGTCGTCTTAGCTTTGGAAGCTTCAAGAAAGGTGGTGACTTCCACACTCATCCTGGCCTCCTAGATGCTTTGACTTGGTCTGCTGGATTCTCTATGAATTGCAGGGATGACAACGATCTGGACCGAGATGTCTATGTAAACCACGGATGGGGTTCATTCCAAATGTTCGAGCCGCTCTCGTTCGAAAAGGAGTACACTACCTACTCTCGTATGGTCGAAGGTAAAGATCGATTATGGCATGGTGACGTGATGATATTGCACGGTGATAAAGTCGTCGCACACTTTGGAGAATTCGCAGTAAGCTTTCCCCAGTTTCGATCTTTAGAAATCTTTACTTATATATGAATCTTAGATGCAAGGCGTACCACGTCGAGTTTTGCGAGTGATCCTATCAGCAGAAAGTGGCAAGTCGAAGAAGCAGTCGCCTGTTCAGCCGCCTGCACACAAGAGCCAGGTTGCTCTCTCAGCACCCACTCAACCTCTCGTCGTCGCAGAAAAGACTACTCAAGTAATTGTAGAGCCTTCATCATCACCTAACGTTGCACGAGCCTTAGCTATCATTGCTGATGAAAGTGGTATTGCCGTATCGGATTTAACCGACAACACTGTTTTCGGCGACGTCGGAATCGATTCTCTCCTAGGCCTAACTATCTCGGCTAGGTTTAAGGAAGAACTTGAAATGGATCTTGACTTTAACGCACTATTTTACGAGTATCCCACCGTTGGAGATCTTAAGGGTTTCTTTGGAGATTCGAAATCGGCCAGCACCACTGGGGCTTCTACCCCGAGAACAAACGACGGAATAGATACACCTACGCCAAAGGCTAGTACGACAACCTCTTCTGTCGCAGATGAGCCTTTGGTTATAGTTAAAGTCGACTTTAAGCGCGCCCTTGAGATAATATCTGAGGAAAGCGGCGTCGCAACTGAGGACCTTACTGATGACACCAATTTTGCCGACTCAGGAGTAGACTCGCTGCTATCGCTCGTTATCGTGAGTCGATTCAGAGATGAACTTGAGCTCGACATCCAACACGAGTCTCTCTTCCTTGAATGCCCTACTGTTGCCGATCTGAAGGAATTGTTGCTTGGAACCACCAGCGCAGAAAACACAACTCAACCCTCCGCCGAGGAAAATCCAGAACCTGCCATTGTAACTAAAGCACCACTCTTCACAGAGAGCGAAAATGCCGAACTGGCCGCTCGAAAGGCAGCTGTTGATGTGTATGTCCAGAAGTACACTGCCGGATTTTCGGTACCAGTTCCTTCGCCATCCGCCATCGCCCCGAGGGATAATGCAAAGGTTGTTCTAGTAACAGGAGCATCAGGCAGCTTAGGAGGCCACTTAGCCTTTCAGCTGGCACATCGCGCCGACGTGAAGACGGTTATCTGTCTCAACCGCGAGAACAAGGCCGAGGCCTTTACGCGTCAGAAGAAGGCCATGAAAGACAAGGGTGTCCATTTCCCGGAAAACCTTCTTTCCAAACTGCAAGTGTTGCAGACCGACAGCTCGGCCCCTATGCTTGGTTTAACGAAGGGAGAATATGAGATGTTAGCGGGCTCCGTCACGCATATTATTCACAACGCGTGGCCTATGAGCGTGAAGAGACCTTTGGATGGCTTCGAGCCGCAGTTTAGCACCATGCGCAACCTAATCGACCTTGCTTCCGCTGTTGTAGCCCGTCGCCCTGCCAGTTTCCGGTTTGGCTTCCAGATGATCTCATCCATCAGCGTCGTCGGGCACTACGGACGCGCACAAGAGCACGTAGTCGTCCCAGAAGACAGGGTCAACGTCGACGCGCTTCTTCCGGTGGGTTACGCGCAGGCCAAGTGGGGTTGCGAACGGATGCTCGACGAGACCCTGCACAAATACCCCGAACACTTCCGCCCTATGACCGTGCGTCTGGGCCAAATCGCCGGGTCCAAGGTTAGCGGATACTGGAACCCCATGGAGCACTTCGGGTTCATGATCAAATCCTCGCAGACGCTGAATGCCTTACCCGACGTCGACGGCACCGTATACTGGACGCCTGTCAACGACATAGCCGGGGCGCTCGCCGATCTCGTCTTGAGGGCACACCCCAAACCCCACTATCCCTTCTACCACATCGAGAACCCTGTCGGCCAGCCCTGGCGCGAAGTTAACAAGGTCCTGGCCGACGCTCTGGGGATCCGGGATTTGATTCCTCTAGAAGAGTGGACGAAGCGCGTGAGAGCGGCACCGCAGCGCAACAACCCGGCTGCTGCTCTGGCTGATTTCCTAGACAGCAACTACCGGCGGATGTCTTGCGGCGGACTCGTCCTCGACGCCAAGAAGACGCTTGAGCACTCGCCTACTTTGGCCGCTGTGGGCCCGGTAAGCGAGGAGGTTATTAGGAGGTACATTTATGTTTGGAAGGAGATTGGGTTCCTGAACTAAAGGATGGGTTGGTTTGTTGGTATATTTGGTTGGAGGCACATTGCAAGAAATTTAAAGCAATTAGATTGAAGATGTAACTTAGAGATTTGTAAGATAGGAATGTTATTGAATAGGAATACGATATTTCCAGTTTACTTAGAACTCCCTTACGTACTTACACTCGGTGCACATAATCTCTTATACGAAGTTTGGTATTGATATTTCAAATCTCTAAATGATCTATTTAATAGTTGATTCAATTTCTTAATTAATCACTCAATTATCTAGGTAGTTACCTCTATCTTAGGAGGTTATAGTGACCTAACCTCAAACTAGATAATAAGGGGTAACTCAAAACTTGAAGCTATAAATTTATGAAGCTTACAGTAATAACTGAAATTGAATATTAATAAGGGTGCGATAAGAATATCTTGTGAGAATAGTTCGAGTATCGTTATCCAAAATAGAATTACCCCTAGTCAAGACCCCTTTTTCTACTCCAGTTCATCAAATGCGGGGGTCCTTTAGACCTTTACTAATCCTCAACATGTCGACATAAGTCTATAATATTATCAATGCAAGTCGAATGCTGTCTACGTCTAAAATAGGTTGACCAAGATATACTAGTGGCACATTCCGGACTCATTCGGCATAGACCGAATCCTCAATCTTTTTTCTTTTTACCCGTGTTGGGGCGGTAAAATAATATAGTCGGGAATTTCTATCAACCATCCCACTTCATCCCACTTCATCCCACAACCGCAGGATCAATTATCGTGCCAACACTATAAGGCAGCTTAGGAATGCCAAAAGTCTAGAATGTAAAGAAAGGCACTGAAATAAATAGAATTCGGCTTCGGCTCGTTTCTGCGTCACATGATCTATGTGGGAGGGTGGGCCGGAAAACAAAAAGGGGGTGTAAGGCGGAAAATGATACTCGTTCGGGTCAGCCTCATACGTCATTAACAGGTATTTAGATCTAACATAATACAGATCTTTATGTAGATCCGATGGGTATTAATCGCGGCTTACTTAACTTTAACAGCCGACTCTAGTGTGACGTCGGCTTTGAGGAATTAAGGATTATGTCCGATAGCGGACGCAAGAACTTGAATTCGCGACGGGAGTCGGGGCCAAGACAATACAACATTACCGTTTCGTTCTTTCTCGTTCTTTTCTTTCCCCCCCCGGTGATACGGATACGGTGATACGAGGTGGTGACACAAACATCTTACATTCTAAGTCAAGACCGAGTTTGGTAGAAAGTTGAAGCTTTCAAAGGGTTTCCCCTATTGCCGGGGGTATATATGAAGCCTTGAAGAGCTTGATAAATTTTGAATTTTGAAAATAATTACCATCTTGTTTATTCATCATCATCATCTCAACTACAATAAGTATTTCAAGAATAAATATCTTAAGCAAGAAAGAAAAACATTCATCATTCATTATTCATTATTCATCATGTCCACCATTCAAGTTTACCAGGCGACTAAAGTCGGCGGACCTTTTGAGCTTATCACAGCACCCAAGCCTAAACCTGGTGCCGGTGAAGTTACTATCCGACCAAAAGCCGTTGCAATCAACGGAATCGACTGGAAGAACATTACTTTCGGTGCCACAATCCAATCTTGGCCTACCGTCCTTGGTATTGACGGTGCCGGCATAATCGAAGAAGTCGGCGAGGGCGTCACAAACTTCAAGCCCGGTGACGAAGTCCTAAGCTACGCTCGTGGTATTCTAGGCAAGGGTTCATTCCAGGAGGTGTACGTTGCAGTAGCAGAAGAGGTTACCAAGAAGCCGGCCTATTTGAGCTTTGAGGAGGCTGCTTCTCTATCGTAAGTATTGCTGTCGGGAAACCCCTATTTTATATAAGCTAACCTCCGATTTTAGAACCTGCTTCCTTACCGCAGCAGGTGCTATTGCCGGCGGCCTCAAAGTAGGCATCCCCGGCCTCTCCAAGATAGAAAACACAAACCCGCCAAAGTCAATTCTTATTCTTGGCGGTAGCTCCGCCGTAGGAGCTGCTGCTATTCAGATCCTGCGGTTTGCGCTGCCGTCCGTTACCATTGTGGTGACTAGCTCAAAGCCTCACCACGAGCACCTAAAGTCTCTAGGCGCAAACGCGGCTCTCGAACGATCTGCTCAGCAGGACAGTGCTGCTCTTAAGGCCGCATCGCCCGGGGGAGTTGGTTTCGACGCTATTCTGGACGCTGTCGGAGCTGGTCCTGAAACGCCTGCCGTCTACGACGCGCTCAGGGCTGACGGACCGAAGCTGTACTCGTTGGTTCTTACTCGGCCTGACGCACAACCTCCCAAGGAACTCCAGTCCACATTAGTCAGTGTGTTGAATGCGGAGCCAGGCGCCATGGCTTGGCTAGGAAAGCAATTGGAGGAGCGCAAGTACAAGGTTCCCGTCAAGGCCGAGGTTGTTGGTCACGGATTCCCTGATATCCAGAAGGGTCTGGCCAGATTCCCGGCTCAGGTCAGTGGTGTGAAGCTGATCGTCACGTTGTAGACGTGAATATATGGTTGCAATACCAAGGCGAATTCTATATGGTTTAGATGATATGCCACTGGCATACATAGATTAGCAAGTGAGATGAAAACCAGGAGTCCATCGTAATAACGCAACGGGGAAATTTAAAAAAAAATAGATTTATTATCTTAAGCAAATTGAAGCCCATATATGAGGTGTTCTTAACAGGAAACAATCATTTATATAGTATGGGGTAAGATTATTCTTTGGCTCAGGCTTATATATCAACATGTCTGGCATTAATGTAGCCCTTCCCCTGGCTCGGTGCTTATATATCTTGGCCCGATAGCCCCTGTAGGCATGATCAATAACCCGGTAATTGTACCTAGTTCAAACTGATCCCCAGATTATCTACCTGTTATTCATAACCAATAGGTGCATATTCATAGCTTAAGGATAGGGACTTGTCCTATAAGTAGACGCCTAGGTAATTTTATATACCTTAGACATCAAATTATGTCCTGCCTAACCTATGAGCCGCAACTAAGTTATGTATTAGTGAAGGCGCTTTCATATTACGCACGAATTGATATCATTCTAATGAAAGCGATGATACGCCGTCTTTAAGACTTTTCTAAAAAGAGGATTTAAAAAACTGCGATCGCCTATCTTGTGAAATGCTGTTATAAAAATGTGATGACTAAAAAAGAAAAAAGAAACTCCTCGGGAAAGGCTCGAACTTTCAACCTCCTGATGGCTCTTAATAACGATAAGATTATTAACAGTCAGACGCGCTAGCCAATTGCGCCACCGGGGAGAAGATTCAGGAATCGTTGAAAATTTGGCTTGCTTTTGTTGTTTAAGTAGCCGGTTAGCGGTCCCATCTTTTACCCGAATAAATTAGTGCTAGCAGTCCCGAGTGTAACTTTGTGGGTACCTAGGTACTTATTGTGCTTGCAGAAGACTTTTGAAGACCTGATAACTATTAAAACGTACTCCAAAAAGAAATCACAATAGCACAGGTGTTATCTTTAGAAATTTCCAAATAGGCAATACGTTTAGAAAAAACGGAATCTATGACAAAAGTACTTATACATTGGCAAACCATTCTATGGATACAACAATAACACCAAATCCTACCACTTTGTTCCCCGCTGTTAAAGTGAACAGTCTCTAAGAATACATGTAACTAACCAATAAACCATCATAATCTACATAAAATAATAACAACAAGGCGTCGAATTAAACCTGCTTGCATCCGTATATGCCACATCATAGAACCGAGTTATAAAAGTTGAAAAAACCCTTGGGATCGTAGCGGCGCTTGAGGCTACGAAGACGCTCAAGACGCCACGATTCGTAACCATACATAGCCTCCAATTTCTCGTTGCCGTGGGCGTAGTTCATATATACGGATTCGATATCGTAACCCGAGTGCTCAGGCTTAATGACCTCGTCGCGAAGACTACGCGCCCACGCATCGGCCGCAGGAGCGACGCTCTCATCCGTATACGTGGTCTGGTAGAGGGCGAGAATGTTGGCGTAGTTGCGGTTTCCGACTGCTGTCTGGTCGGCCGGCTGTTCGACCACGGCCTTCTGACCGAAGATCTCGTAGAAGATGATCGAGTTGGATGCGAGAGGGTTTTTCTTGATGAATTCTACGTAGGAGTTGTAGAACTGTCGCTGCTGGGGTATGTCGAACTGCTTCAAGTTTGCTGTGTACACATTCTGGCTTGCACCGTCGAGACATGCCAAGTCGATCATACCCCCGGCGGCGACGTGTGTGATCTGGCTCCAGGGGGCCATCGTCACGTTCAAGGACGTGCGCTCAATAGGATCGGTCGATTTCTTGTTCGTAGCGAAGCGGGCTGTGAATTTATCTCCCTGGTCTTTAGTGCCGGCATACACAATGTTAAGATAGGTTACAGTCTAATGATATTAGCTTTGTTTCGACGTCTAACAGTTTCTTGGGTGACACTTACTTCGTGGGTAGATGAGTCCGTAAGGATGAAAAGGTCTAGGGCAAGACCGGGGTCCTGGTTCGGGATAAGTTCGTTAATGACGCCGAAAACACCTTCCAGAGAAGCGTTGGTAAAAGTCATGTCTGCGTTATATGTTAAGCCATTGTTCTGTAGAGGCCATGTCTTGTACGTGAAACTGAGAACAATTCCAAAGTTGTGACCGGCCCCGCGCATGGCCCAGAACAGGTCTGAGTTCTTGGTAGCGGATGCTTCAACGATAGAGCCGTCCCATAGGGCTACGCGCATGCTAACGATGGCATCTACTATCAGGCCGTATTTGCCTTGAAGTCTGCCGTGACCGCCACCGAGACTTGCGCCACCAACTCCGACACAAGAGCAAGAGCCAAGCGCTGCATCAGATTGTCAGTTAATGATAAAGAGATTTACTAGATAACAGTGACTAATGTCAAATAAAGAGATCAATACTAACGCAATTCTCGACCGGCTCCGTAAGCGGCTGTGTATACATCCCCGAATTTAGCACCGCCGCCAACGGTAATAGTCTTGTCAGAGTTCACGGTGATTTTGTTAAGTTTCTCCAGGTTAATAAATACGACATTCTTTGCTTTGGCCAGTGTAACCGTATTCCCGTGACCGCCGCCACCTGCGAGGAACTGGATGTTGTGTTTCGTCATGTATTGGAGCTACACAGTGATGTCAGCTTATGAGGTACCTATATAATCTCTCCGGCACGGGATGGCTTCAGCCCACTTACACCAACGGAAACATCCTTCTCTTCCGCCGGAAGGAATGCGACGCTGAAACTCGGCGCGCTCCACGTGGACCAGCGGGTCGTGTCGTCGACCCACTCAGGGGAATCAGGGGTAACGATCGAAGCATTCGGAGAAATATGGAAGTTTAACGTGGGGGAGGTAGCCCTCTCCAAGAATTTCACAAGATCTTCACCTCTGCTAGCGTGCCAAGTAGGCCCAGCTGTAACCGTGGAGGCAAAGATCGCCAGTGCATTGAAGATGGCGCGTGAGAGCATGATGATCGAGTAACACAAGAGATAACTCTTTTCTTGAGTGAGGAAAGCGAACAAATGTCGAATGGATGCTTGGGATCTTTCAATTGGAGTTTCTTCACGGCTTCCTATATTTTATATTCGACGAGAAGCTCATAACCCTTCTCTTTCATAATCGCCCGAAATCCTATTATTATTGTCGTCCTATGGACCATGGTGTGCCCGGCCGATATGCCTCCAGTCCTATTGCGCCTCCCATCCCGTCACGAGTCACATCCCGTCACGAGGCGTATCCTAATGTAAGACGAAGTAAATATAGACCGAAGGCCTAGATCTCAAGCCAGAGCCATGTTCTATAGGTTACGATAGACACGGGTAGAGCTCCTGAGAGGTGAGGCTGAAGCTGAGGCTAGAGCTGAAATGATTCCCCGACGTACACCCTTTCTTATGGGAACTCCCGAGAGGCCTCAATATGAGTCTTGCATTGTCCTGATATACGATATTATCACCGGATAATTAGGTAAACTGTAAGACCTTTCATTATTAGTTGACACCTCTTAATTTATTCCTTGTATGAGATACATGTAGGATCTGACATAACTGTTGAGATTGTCGGGATCTTATTGCACCCATCGGCGAAGCTAAACACCTGATTACTAGGCTACAGCTTTGGCTGAGACTCGATAGGGTGATACAGTTGATAAATCCTTTCAAAGGAAAACCCCTTTCTAAAGTGATAAGTAGCATAACAACATTGGTCACGATATAAACCTCGAAATTGATAAGATCAACGTACTGCTTCATATACATTTACTAACAATATGCATGACACAAAAAGATATCGTCTGGAGGTGGTCATCTGGTAGTTCTAGGTTACATTCTTAACCGGTGTGGTAGTTAACCTTGTAAGTTATCTAACATTACTACTATCTATGGGTAGGACAAGAATGATAGATAAGTCGAAGAAATATTTATGCATGGGGGCGGCTTAAAGTTAAAATAGGGTTCGGAACGTTTATTATGGTGTAGGGCTGTTAAATTAACCAATCAGTTGTCACGGCATAAAGCCATAGCGTCGCTTTAAAATGTGTCTTATCTCCGTAACCCTGGAGCTGCAGAGAGGTACCAAGATGGGACATAAGAAGATTCGACCCGTGCCCTATACCATATAAGGAATAGTGTATATAATATCAGCCAATCATATTCAAAGAGGCTTTCTATTATAGTATGTATATGTACATTTGGTGGTATATCAGGTAGGTAATTATATCGGTCAAGCCAAGTCCATATGAATAGCATGATTTCATGGTTTTTACATTTCTGAATCTCTTTCTGACGTTTCTCTTATAGATCTATCTAATCATGTAAGGCTAGATTAGTTAACTAGCAGGTATGATTCGGATCTTAAAAGGTTACCTACATATGTAAACAGTAAAGCAAACACTAATGCGCCATGTCATATAAAATCTGATATATGACTGGGGAAAGGGTTACACATAATACGTGCGTTGGCGAGACCTGCGCCAGCTGGTTCCTGTTAAAGCCTTCAAAGCTAAAGAGTCCTAGCTGTTAAATACGAGACTCCTTACAGCTTACAGCTAATAGGTTAGTATGCGGTATCGAAACGATGGGAGTTATGCGTCGGAGTTTAGGTGTCGCGAATCGCCTTAGTCAGGCTCCCTTCTTTCGCGCTCCCTTTGATCCTAAAACCGGGAGCTTTTCTCAGCTCGGCCGGACTTGTTAGGTACCTAATCACTCGGCTCCTTTGAACCCCGACGATGTCGTACAAGCCGAAACACTTTTGTATCTTCATCACTTCTATGACGAGATCTTCTATGAAAAGTGTCTAGGCTATTTATTTAAACAGTCCAGATGATCTCGTAATGGCCTTGAAGAAAACCCGAATTCGTTCGTTCATCTCAGCTACCATCTGCAACCCCTTTCACAACTTCACCCATCGCAAATCTTACCACCTCAACAAAATGTCTTCGACATCTGCTGCCGTCTTCAGGCCTAGGGATGTTACAGGCTTCGGGCTTATGGGCATGACTTGGCGCCCTCATCACACGCCCGACGAGCAAGCCTTCGCAACCATGAAGGCAGCTATCGCTCAAGGCGCCACTTTCTGGTCTAGTGGTGATTATTACGGCATGCCTGAGCCTACGGCTGGCTTAGCTCTGCTGCGCCGCTATTTCGAAGCTTACCCGGAGGATTCGAGCAAGGTCACCCTATTCATTAAGTGCTGCGTCGACTCCAAGACCATGGCGCCTAAGATCAAGCGCGAAGAAGTACTTGCTAGCGCTGAGAACTGCTTCAGGGTTCTCGGCGGCGCGAAGAAGATAGACATCCTCGGCCCGGCCCGCATGGACCTCAGCGTGCCACTTGAAGAGACTCTAGGAGCATTCAAGGAGCTTGTAGATGCTGGCAAGATTAGCGGCGTGGGAATTAGCGAGGCCGGCGCCCAGACCATCGAGAAGGCCAACGCCATCTACCCGCTAAGCTTGGTGGAAATCGAGTTCTCCCTATGGACCCCTGATATCTTAACAAATGGCGTGGCGGCTACGGCAAAGAGGCTTGATATTCCCCTTGTCGCTTACTCGCCTTTAGGCCGTGGCTTCTTGACCGGTCAAATCAAATCCGTCGACGACATTCCTGAGGGAGATATCCGTCGGCGTTTCGACCGCTTTCAGCCCGAGGTAAGAATCCTTTGTTTTACCCCATCCGGTGATGTTCTTACAAAGCTAACTCTTATCTCTTAATTAGAACTTTAACAAGAACCTTGAGCTTGTGGACAAGCTGAAATCCTTTGCGGAGAAGGCGGGTGTTACACCGGCTCAACTTGCGTTGGCCTGGATTCGTGCCGTTTCCAACTCGCCGCAAGCTGGTACTATCATTCCTATCCCTGGTGCTACGAGGGTTGAACGTGTCGAGGAGAATTCTAAGAACGTTCTTCTTTCGCCGGAGAATAAGGAGGAACTTGATCAGATCCTTGCGTCGTTCACGATCCAGGGTGGCAGGTACAACAAGGTGCTCGAGGGTTTGCTTTGGCGTTAGAAGGTCTATAGGCCATGATTTAAACTTTATTATCCGAGTCGGTACATATACTAAATAGTAGTAATTAACCCCTGATATTCTAAGATGATACCATGCAGTGGGTAGCTGTATGCGTGTTGTGCTCGAAATATGCCAAGTGTGTCAGCCTCAAAGCATAGCTCATCGTTTGAATGCATCTAATTAGTATAAATGGGATAATGAAGTTCTCATCAACTAGAGACGTTTCTGACGGACTAAATGCTCTCGGAACCCCCTGCTATAGTTTAAAAAGATACGTAGGTTATGTCTAAGAGAAGAATACTGCGTTTCTCAACGTAGTCTTCGACCCCTTTTCTTTTGCAACAGGATTCAATTACGTAGGTAAACATAAAACGGTCAGTTTTAATCTGTTGGTATCTTGTTGGGTGAAATGGCCAGTAAAGTCCTAGTGGAATTGAATCATATTCAGATTCTGAATCGCATAGCCTTATGAGCCAGAACAAGCTAATACTATGTGCTTCTATTAGACTCCACTGTATTGAATGGGTATAGGTAGGTAGTAGCTTATGTCAACACCACAGACTTAAATACAAGACGATGATAACAACCTGAGGAACTAGATTTGGGGATAATAGTCATATATAAATAAACGTGAATCAATTATTACTATGATATATAGTTCCACGCCATGAGTTTACTTCAGGTGCCCAGACTCGTTTCAGAAGTATCTCAAGTCGAAAACTCCAACGCTATTTCATAAATGAACTCATCAATATACATTCCTAGGGTAACTCGGCAAGTCTTGGCTTCTGTATAGTACCAATTTCCACCACTGCATTATTATTCCATTCTTCCTTTGGAGGAATTGGTTGTGGACTCCCGACAGGTTCGTCAATGATAGGATCATTCTGTTTTTTTGATCTTCCAATATAGAGCCCGATGCATGTAATTATCGCCAGACCTATTATGCTAACGGAAATTCCTATTCCAGCCTTCGCCCCAGCACTCAGCTCGTTAGAATCTTTCTGGAAAGCCTCATTCTGGTTGCTTCCCGTAGAAGAATTTAAACCAGTTGAAGATAGTGGCGCTTGGCTGGTTGAGGTGCTCAGCGGCGTCGTATACGTTGTGTTGCTGACCGTGGCCTTGTTCGATATGTTGAAGAATGGAGAAGATATCTGAGGACTTGACTGGTCGCCTTGGTACGAAGGGTCACCATCGAACATCCAGAAAAAGAATACGTTCGATACGGTCAAGTCAAAGTCGTATGTCTGAACAAGCCAGGTAAATTGAGTCGCCGCATTGTTTACAGTCTCTTGTAGCGATTATTTAGTAGATGTCTAGATTAATACTACGAGTATAATGGAACTTACGAAAGACTATAGGTCCGAGAATTGCTGAGCCCCCATGAGGGGCTTCTTGCCAAAGAGCGATGGAGAACGTTTCGAAGCCTGTGTTGAAACTGATACTTTGGATTTCACCGACTTTCCACGTTACTCGACTAGGAGGGGGGTTCGAGAATCGGGCAACCACAAACGAGGCTATTGTGAAAATAAGGAAAATTCTTATCATATCGAGTAACTTTGGCTAGTATATAGAAGCAATACATGAAGACCACAAGAGATAGTTATAGTATATTACGAATGTAGATGAATGGGCCATGAACTATTGAGAAGAAAAGAGGAAATTACGACACTATTACCTGAACACATAGAAACTCACCATCTATCGAAAGCACTATTGAAGGGATATTAGTTTGGGTAGTGTCCAATAAGCTCATTTCGGCATGCTGGGGTAGAGGTTCGGGCCGGGGTTAATTATGCAGACGAGTAGGCCGAAGTGAACCAACAGCATGATCAATGTTACATCTTCTTAAGCAAACAATAAAAGTCTCGTCGTGATTCGTCAGCTATACTAGCCGTGCCGAATTGTCGGGTTCGAATAACTCATTTCATTGACTCGTCACAACTTACGTAGTATCGAAACCGAGATAACCTGAATGTCGGGCGCTAATTCATCCATTCATAAAAATAGCCTATTGTGAGGTCTATGCCTTCTAGGAATAACCGCTGATCATACACCTTATATATTTGTTGGCTCATTATCAAGGAATTTTTAGCAACTTTTGTATATTTAGAACTGGTAATATGGGACCTCTAACCTGAAATATCCTAGATATTTTCACAAGTCTCTTTCATTTAAACCGCTATCCCTTTTTATTGTTGTTTGATTTATAGGTAGACTTTTTCCAAATGGCCGTCAGACTCCCATCAAACCGTATAATACACATAGTTGTTGCACTTATTATTGTCTTATTAATATGTTTCAACTTACCACTATTTAACTCCGCTAGAGACGTCGATAGGCTACTCGACGACGTAAATAATAGCACACTTGGGGTATGTATCGATGCCCAATCGTATTATATGAAGTATAGGATTATTAACAGCCGTGATTACCTATATAGTTCCAACAAATATTCGTGGTTGGCTTGCCGTCAAGGACAGACCGTCGAGATGGCATGTTCCTGCAAGCTGCTCTTAGCAATATGAGAATAGAATTCGTGGATGGTGTAAACGGAAAAGATATACCCGATAAAGCAGTTCCTATGACGTCTGAACGTGAGAGGATGAATGATGCTTCTCTTGGGTCGTGGCGCGCACATATGAATGCGATTCAAGAGTAAGTATCTACCTCCTAAATTTATTGTCCTGTGCCTAGAGGGTCCTTACTGACTCACAAGTGATATAGGGTCGTTCGGAGAAACTTAACTTCTGCTCTGATATTAGAGGATGATGTTGATTGGGACGTCCGAATCAAGCATCAACTAAAAGACTTTGCATTGTCTACGCAAGCTATTACACAACCTCCGTCTGGCTCTAAGTCATATGCTGATTCTACCTTCCCAATTCCATCTAAGGGGCCCTTTACTGTCGTTCCCGATACTTCATTTCATTCTCTTCCCAACACTGAACCCCCGAAGTTGTCTCCATATGGCGATAATTGGGATTTGCTATGGATTGGTCACTGTGGCATGCATTTCCCATTCGAAGACAATCCCCTTATACCAAAAGGGCGAGTTATTCATCTTGAAGATGAGACTGTTGCACCAAAACAGAATTTATGGACTTTTAACGTACCTTTCACATTGAAGGATAAATATCCAGAACATACGAGGGCGGTACATCACGTACAAGAAGGCGTCTGTACACTTGGATACGCAGTAAGCCAGGCAGGTGCGCGAAAGCTTTTGCACGAGGTAGGCCTGAAGGATGTCACAGATGGGTTCGACATACTCCTTCGTTTCTTCTGCGAGGGGGTGAACGGACGCAAGTATCATAATTGCTTAACAACCCAACCAGCACTCTTTCACCATCATAGGGCGGCTGGCCCCCTTAGCGCCTCGAGTGATATAGGAGACCACGGTGGCGGGTTTAGGGAGAAGGGTTCAACTGATATGGTTAGGTGGAGTGTTAGATTAAATGCTGATGTATTATTAGAGGGACGTACGGACTTTGTTGACCAATATCCAGACAATAGCCCCTAATTTAGTTTATAATATATGTAGCATTAGCATATACTAATAACATGGCTTGTACGGGGTATTGATTGAGTGCCTAGGTAGGTATCTATCGGGGCAACTAAGAAAAAGAGTCCTAAATAGGTAGATAGGCATCAAAAGAGCATATCATCAAGGCGCGTACGTTAATCTTACAGTAAGCTTCCAGTAATTCAGATCCACATAGTGGAAAAATTATAAACCTCAAACCCCTGAGGCATTAGCCCTATACTTCAACTACTTCAACTATAAAAATATGGAACCTTGCCCATAGTGATCACCGTAGTGCACTATAACTTTACCCGATGCCTTATTCTTCTCGTACAAGCTTCCGACCCCTATGACTACTAGCTTGTCCTCCAATTCGTCCCCGTACCTCACTCGCACTTCGTCATTAACAACATTCTCCAGAAACTTATGTTTTGCTTGACAAACCATAGACTGCGCAATGGACTCTCGGAGAAGCTCGTCTTCGCCCTCATTCGCCTCTTGTAGGGCATTTATCCCCCTCTCCCCTTGCAGTTCCCGTGCCTCTTCAATGCTAAGCTGTCGTTGCTGCTCTTTAACCACTGGAAACATCTCGACTAAATCTTTCACTAAAGGTTCGAGGTCCTCAATCAGCCTTTTGAAATATTTCTCTTCGCAGAGTGCCCACGACGCTTTCTGCGCAAAGCTAGTTCGTCTCTGGCGCTTTAATGCAAGGCTCTTCATCTTCTGATGGAGGGATTCGATATCGGCATCAGGATAACCACCAGCAGGCATACCAGTGGTATCTCCTTTCAGACCTTTGAACTTTCCAGTCTTCTTTTCCGTCTCTTCAAAGAGGTATATTATCTGACCCAAAACTTCCTTCACTTTGTCGATCTCTTCCTCGGATTGGACCGAGATGCGCGAGTCGGAATGGTTTACGCTATCGGCCCATCTGGATAGTCGGAGCTTAAGAAGGTCAAGTTTCAAGACAGATGTTTGATAATTTTTACCGAACTGGCGGCCGAGTTGAATGTATTCGAAACAGTCGACACAAGCTGTGAATAGCCCAGCCAGGCTCACGCCGCCGACGACCAGGCCAGCAACTTCCATCTAAACGAATATAGACCTCAGTGGTAAATCAGATAAGAATGTAGGATTTGGGTTTGAGAGGGATCGTAAGTAGGGCATCAAGCAATGGGCGTTGTTAGCACAGCCTTACCATATTGGGGGCGCAAACGACTGCTACCCTCCAACTCGAACGCCAATCTCAGCTCGATAACAATATGCGCGTGTGCCTTGACCTCAGGAGGCCCAAACCCCGCATCTTTTCTACGAAATCTTATTCTCGTATCATAAACATAAGCTTTAAGAGTCTACCGACTGCGATGGCTTCCATACAGAACCAGCGCCATGAATACTCTCATAACTCTCTTTCCGTCTCCGGTGGCGAGGCCCGCGTACAGTACGGAAACATCTACAATGGTAAGAATTTTACTGTGGGATGATTGGATGGCGTCGCTGACTTATTCAGGGTCGCAGGAAACAAGACCTAACTGGACGGACATAGCCAGATGGATTTTTGGCTCAGAACCAGTATTTTCGCAACGAGCATTCCAAATCTCATTACAAAGAAGAAGACTAGAAAGTGACACAGGATCATGGTTCCTTAAAGGGGAGCCATTTGATCGCTGGAAATCTCAGCCGGCTTCATTTCTATGGTTGCATGGGAAGAGTTAGTATAAGTCGTTTCGTCAATTGTCTTGGTCGTATCATACCTTAAATGCTAAACTTTCATCCAGCTGGATGTGGTAAAACGATGCTATGGTTAGTCATATAGTTGAGACACTGGAGTAGAAGCATTAACTTACAAATAAATAGTTCTTCCGCCATCAGTGAAATACAGCCTACTACTTCAGCATCTTCCGAGTCAGCTTTGGTTTATTATTTCTTTACGGTAACAGATCGGCGGTCTCAGACGTGTGACAATCTCATCCGAACTCTTGTGTATCAACTCGCAAAACATAATTATGAAATGCAAGCCCTTACTGAAGAGCATTACAAAAAGTTAGGTGGAGACATCGAATCCATCGACTACGATCAATTACTGTCTTTGCTTCAAAATCTGCTTAAGGTTCCTAAAGAGGTCTACATCGTCATCGATGCTCTAGATGAATGCGTAGATCAGGACGAGACATGTGAGTTAATCGAGAAAATATGCAGCTGGAAGATTCTTAGTATTCATATTCTTGTGAGCGGTATTACCATTCAATCTGGAAACACGGAGGCTACTTTGACGAAACTGAAACCAGATAAAATACACGTTATTCCTGATGCTGTCAACCAGGATATAGAGGCACACGTCAGAAAGTTGAACCTATGGCAGTGGGATGATGACCAGAAGAACAAGATTATTGGTGATATAAAGAAAGGATCCGATGGCTCGTAAGACTTCCTTAATGTTTTATTGATTTTCAACTGATATTCATATGATAGATTCCGATGGGCTATTGGTCAATTGACGGAAATCAAGAAGTGCGATACAGAGGAACAGCTTGAAAAAGCTCTCGAGTCACTTCCTGGAACCCTTGCAGAAACTTACGAACGAATTCTCTCACGCATTAACACTGGCATCGCCATCGAAAATCTGAGGACTTTACTGTGCTGGCTCCTATATGCCCGCCGACCACTCCGTATTAAGGAGCTTCGAGAAACGGTTGCTATTAATTGGCTAGAGAAGCCATATTTTTACCCCAAGAAGCGGTTTAACAAGAGGCCAAGCTTCATTGACCAGTGCGGCTTCTTAATTGTGATTGATGAAGATTCAGATGTAGACGACATATTTGCCATCGACGTCGACTATGATGATACATCGTCTCGTATATCTAATACGGACTTGACTTGGCACGATGATGCAGTTCTTAGATTTGCCCATTCGAGCGTCTATAACTTTTTTCAAGAGATGGAGAAACTATCCCCCCATGCTAAACAGTTCTCCATCGCGCAACCTATGGGAGATCTGTTACTCGCTCAATCCTCCCTTGCATACATTCTCTATATCAATTCGACTGATTCGTGCATGCGAGCTAAAGATGATTACCCCCTGACTAACTATGTATTTCAATACTGGTATAGCCACGCACAGCAAGTCGGTCCTGACGATACCCAGGTACTTGCAACACGAATCCAAGAGGCTCTTAATACCGAATGGGATGTTTACCGGCTAGTAACATTCCTAAACCCTTCAACAGAATACAACCCTTGGAGGGGCCCGCACAAGCTTACGTCGGATAACTCAGATAGTTCTGATCAAAACACATATCTCTGCAAGACGTGCCAGAAAATTCAATTTCATGAACTACAAACGCACCCAGGGTTCAAACACAAAACATATGATGATCTTTCAGCCTCGTCTCATAAGTGCAAGCTCTGCAAGATGATTAATTGTGCCCTTATCCAGTTCGGTATTGCTCGATATTGTCAACTATCTGCAGAGATCTATCTATCTGAAGACAAGTCTAAGATCGTTGGCATTGGAATAGAGAAGGAGATCCATCGAAATGCCGGCAGTGTGAATGTCTTCCTTAGAGCAGAAAGGCAGGATCCGTTTCTCTTGATTAGCTGCTACTGTTACCTTGGCCGTTTACATCTATTTACATATCCAGGTAAGTTTAATGCGGTTTTAACTTGGTTTCATGGCTTAAAACTAACAGCAAAGAATCCCCTCTAGCTGGTAAGATATTAGGGAGGCCAACACATCTACACTTTGGATTACCCGGTCTCTTAGATAGATGTGCACATTTGCTTCAGGCGTGCGAAAAGAATCACTCAAAATGTGGTCATAAATTCGCCCCGTCATTTCTGCCTAAGAGGGTCATCGACGTCGATAACAACTCTATACGCCTCATAGAAGCAGACACTCAAGATAAGGGCGAATATGCGACAATTTCTTACAACCGGGGCCGGGGAGTGAACTATAATACAACGGCAGAATCTATAGGAAGATTTATGCAAGGCATACAGCTCGACGAGTTGGAATTCACTTTCAGAGACGTAATTACTTTGATACGTCGTCTATGCATCCGATATCTATGGATTGATGTGTTATGTATCATGGATGGTTCGACCGAAAGGGAAAATATATCAAGGTACTACATGAATGCTACCTTGAATATCGTGGCAGGACATCAGCACCCATCGATCGGTATGTTCATTCCCAGGGAACCACCACAATTTTCACCAGTCCATATAAATAAGTCGGAGGATATGTTCGTGGGGTGGCTCGGGACAGATTCTTACTGCGACCCCCATGGGCTTAATGTGGAATTGTATCCGGATAGCTGGAAATACAAATACCGGTTTATGCAAGCGATACCTTTTTCCCGTCGTAGCCTTGTTTTCCAGACTGACAAAGATTCATTGATAACTTCTCAGTTATACATGCAGTGCCAAGAGGAAATCCAATGGGAGAACGGTAGAATAAGGTCGGGGTCATCAAATACTATTGCAGATTGGTATAAACTACCAGAGGAATACTCTAGAGGCTATTGTTTACCATGGGAGATATATAATTTTTCTAGCAAAGCTAAGCAGTACTCGCATACCTTCCAAGGGCGATATGGGGATTATTTCGCTGGGTTGTGGAGTGGCGACCTATTCCGCGGCCTTTTATGGCGAGCTGAAAAGAATGGACGTCATAGCCGAAGATCAGATCGTACACTAACTTGGTCATGGGTTAGTTATCCTGGAGCCATCAAGCACGTATGGCCTTCGAATGCGATCGTGTGTGCCGAGGTTCTCGGCTCTTCTATCAAGACATACAACGACGACATACGGAGAGGAATTAATTCCGGCTATATTATAATACGAAGTTCAGTATTAAAACTTGTCGGGAACCTAAGGACCTGGACGGATGATATAGAAGTTAACGTTCAAGTCGAAAACAAGCCCCAAGTACGGATAAAGATACGTTACTTTATTGATTCCTACGATATAATAGGAGCTGTGGACTTATTTAGTCTCAAGATCACTCGTCGAGTTGCACTCTTACTCGTAAAATATGGATGTCCTAATGATACTATGAGAAGGGTTGGGCTAATGATTGTCGCCAAGCCAGATACTCAGAAGTGGGAGTCAATGGTCAATCAATGCGATGTGAAATTGGTATGAGCACAAAGAAATTGGTTGTCCTAATTAAATTAGGATTCTAGACAAGACATCTAGAATAAAGGATATTTCTAGTCTGTATAGCTTAAGCTTCCATGATTGAGTTAGGTGTTTCTTAAGGAATATGTTGTTTTCTTCTTGTTTCTCATGATAGAATCTTTTCGTTTAACTACATCAACTATGACGAAGTGCCCAATGACTCAAACTTGTAATAAGTTATAACTTCATTCACCTTATAGCACGAGTTTCATAGACTAGATTCTAAAGTTCTGCCTTTACTAATTAGATATTGAAGCGATTCTCTATATATCACTATTACGTTCAATTTAGACTAAAATGCCAAGTAATCATAATCAACAATACCTACCTAGGTAAGAGGTAGCTTGCACTACTTGATCTCTTTCATCTTGCTTATTTCTTCTGCTAGTATCAAGTTGCCCATTACGACTGAGGCAAACATATTCCAATAGTAGGTAGACTTAACCGGCAACTGGAGATGGGATAATCTACGTTGATAATCCAAGACTACGAGTTATCACAATCAGGATTCGGACTATAATAAAACAAGCTATCAGATACTATTATGGCCTAGGTCTGGATTCATTTAGCTTTATCCTGATGTAAATAGTTACCAAAGCATCTGTTTGATACCCCATCCCATTTGCCGAGGCTTCGTAGCTAGCTGACTTCTCGTTGAGGGGTGTAAGATCGATGATACGCGGTACATCCATGTAACGCACGTGCCATGTTCTCGCTTTAGGAAGGTGACAAGAAAACACGATCCCAGCTTGGATGTTTACGGCCTTTAACTGGAGAGCTTTACTGCGCAGAGGTATATATTTTGATATGAATGTAGGGGGTTGTATAGGTAAACAAGGCCAAGAAACTGGAGATAAGGAGAAAAGAATGCTAAATTGGAAAGTTGGAAGATCCTGTAATGGTCTTTT